AAGAGCTGTGGCAAAAAGAGTGGTCATGACAACTGAGAACCGTCGACGTGCACAACGCCAGTATTTACAAAAACACCCGAAGTACAACGTGTCACTGTACATTTTCAAGCCAGACAATCCAGTGAGAAAGCTGTGCCAGTACCTAGTCGGCCCAGGGCGAGGAACTGAGCGCGTGGAGGGCGTCTCGCCTTACAGACCTGCCTGGTACGCCTTCTCCGCTTTCACATATGCTGCTATCGTCGCGATGGTCATATTAGCCTGTATCACCACGCCCTTGTATCAACGTGATTACTACTTGAACAATACGTTGAGCATCACCAACTGGTTTGTCTGGACTGATTTGGGTTTTGCAATACTCTTCACAGTCGAAGCGATCATCAAAATTATTGCGGATGGACTCTTTTTCACGCCACACGCGTACTTTCGAAGTGTCTGGGGCTTCATTGACGGTGTTGTCCTCATTACGCTTTGGATCAACGTTATCACTGCTATGTTCCGCGATGACGGTGTTTCTCGAGCTGTCGGGGCTTTCAAAGCGCTGAGGGCTTTACGCTTACTCAATATTAGTGACACTGCACGAGAGACGTTTTACTCGGTTATTATTGTTGGCGGGTACAAAGTCCTTGCAGCCGCGTTTGTTTCCATGAGCTTGCTGATTCCGTTCGCCATTCTGGGAGTAAATCTATTTAATGGCAAAATGCAAGCTTGCAATGATGGCGATTTCGGTTACAGTGCCTTGAGCAATTGCGTGGGAGAGTACAACTCTACGCCCTTCAACTGGCCTGTTCTGGCTCCCAGGCAGGTTGCGAACCCATGGTTCGACTTCGACGACTTCGGCAGTGCTTTATTCATCCTTTTCCAGATCGTCTCTCAAGAAGGATGGGTCAATGTGATGTGGTCCGGGACCAGTATCACTGGCACGGGATTACAACCGCAGCCATTTGCCGCGCAGGGAAATGCAGTCTATTTTATCATATTCAATTTGTTAGGCGCAGTTTTTGTCTTGACCCTGTTCATCTCTGTGTTCATGCGAAATTACACAGAGCAGACAGGGGTCGCCTTTTTGACGGCAGAACAACGGTCCTGGCTGGAACTGCGGAAACTCTTGAAGCAGATCTCACCTTCCAAGCGATCTCTCGGTGAGCAGACCAACAAATGGAAGAAATGGTGCTATGACCTATCGATCCAGAAACGGGGCAGATGGCAGAGATTCATCACCACGATATTGATCCTCCACCTGATTCTTCTCACCATCGACTTTTATCCTGAGCCAGCGTGGTGGGAAACTGTGCGGGAATACATTTTTCTTGGGTTTACGATTGTGCTGATCGCCAATATCATCATCAGGATAATTGGCCTCTCATGGAATCGATTTCGACGAAGCTCATGGGATATCTACTCGATCCTTGCAGTATCAGGGATCTTCATCACGTCCCTGATCTCTCTGTCGAAGGTCAACAGCGGAAGTTTCCAACAGCTCCGCAAACTTTTCCTCGTCTCAGTCACGTTCCTCCTTATCCCGCGGAACAACCAGCTCGACCAGCTTTTCAAGACTGCCGCCGCTTCGCTCCCACTGATCGCCAATCTGCTTGCAACATGGTTCGTGTTGTTCCTAGTCTACGCGATTGCCTTCACCCAAGCGTTCGGTCTCACACGTTTTGGACAAAATGAGAGCAACAATGTCAACTTCCGCACCGTCCCGAAGGCCCTCATCCTTCTGTTTCGGACCAGTATCGGGGAAGGGTGGAATCAAATCATGGAAGATTTTGCTGGTCTTGAACCACCTTTCTGCGTAAGGGAAAATAGTTTCTTCGCGAGCGACTGTGGCAGCCCCGGCTGGGCCAGGGCACTTTTCATCTCGTGGAACATTATCAGCATGTACATTTTCGTGTCTCTGTTTGTCTCGATGATTTTCGAGAGCTTTTCCTATGTCTATCAGCAGAGCAGCGGGATGTCCATTGTGAGTCGAGATGAGATTCGACGCTTCAAACAGGCCTGGGCAGAGTTCGATCCAAATGGTACGGGTTTCATTTCGAAGGAGCAATTCCCTCGGCTTTTAGGGGTAGGTTTGATTTGATGACGCTTTTTGTTTGTTTTACTCTTACTGACAACGATCAGGAACTCTCCGGTATCTGGCAGATGCGAATCTACGACGGTGACTTTACCGTGGGAGCAATCAAAGAGGACTGCTCAGTTCAGCCAGGTGACCCTGTCAAACCAGCAGGGAGAATAGTAGACGGCATGGATCTCGACAAATTGGCGGAGCGCATTAACCAAATTCCCATTGCAGAGATTCGGCAAAGACGTGCACGGATCAACGTATTCTACCAAGAGGTCATGTTGACCGCGGATCCGGACCGTGGGATTCCATTCACAGCGGTGCTTTTCCTGTTGACGCACTACAATGTGATCACAGACTCTCGAAGTCTCCGATTGGAAGAGTTTCTTCGGCGGCGAGCCCGTCTTCAAAGAGTTCAGGAAAGTATCCGCAGAAACACCGTGGTCGGCTTCTTCGACACCTTACATTGGTCTCGAAAGTTTCAGAAAGCGGTCGAAAGGCGAAGAAATTCACGCCTGGTGGCGCCACCTTCCATTCCTGTTCCTGAGATCTTTATCGAGGATCCAGACGACAATGTGGAAGGCAGTAGCGGCACGGAGCCACGCGATTTCACCACAAGCACGCCCTCGTACACTCCGAAAAAACAGTCAGTCAACCTACCACCCATCGATACATCCATGCCTCCTTCGGGTTCTTTGCGAAACGCGTCACCGGTGGAATTTGATAGCTCGCCTCGAGGCAGCCCAATACGGGCGAGATTGGGATCAGTGGATACTAGCTATCACGGAGCATCGAGATCTTCTCCAACGACACCGACGCTAGACCACAGTCGACACAGCAGTAATGCCAGCGGGCTCGATGGGCAAGGCATGATGGAAAGCTTTGACAACTCAGCATGGGGCGAGAGTATCCGCAGAAGCTTCACAACAAGGAGAATACGGAGCAACAGCACCCGCGGATGAGTGAGTGATGGTCATACACTTGCTCGGCACGAATGTTTCACGACGACGAACGACCAGAGTCTTTTTGATTTCATGTCTTCATTTGTGAATATTAAGACGGAACGAGGTGGATAATGATGCTGGTGTTTGGAATGAAAATAGAGGAGCATAGCGAGGGCGTTTTTCACCTTTGATGTGACGAAATGAGATTGGGGTGGATGACTGAAAACAATATGCGAATTATGCGTTGGCATCCAGTCGTCAATGTGCATCATGCACCTCACATGGACTATGGGAAGTCCAGCGAAGTGAAGTTGACGACCGCTCTGTGCCTATCCAGCACGATCTTGAAATGACATACCTGTGGAATGACTTTGTATGGAGCATTAGTCTATGGCCCTGCAGGCCCTTGCAGATCCCCCAGGAACCGATTGATTGCACTTCTCGTATTGGTAATTGTGGTTAATTTCACACCCTGGTTCCTTCAATGGTGCTGATGATTACGATCGTCTACGTACATACGTAAGTACTCTTCATCATGTGACACCGGGCCAATGTTGACCTCCCTACAAGTAGAAGTAGGCCTAGTACATGCCTTCCCGCCGTCAGTTTCGTGCTGCCCATGACCGGTGACATTGTCAAACAGTTCTGAATCAGAAGGCTCTAGAATGGTGACACAGAGCACAAAATTCCACGACGGCATTCCTATAACCCGAGCTTCATCCTGCCCCTTCGGGCCCCTCGATCGTTCTACCTTTGTACAGAGGCGTGCCTAGGTACCCGGTAGGCGAGACCAAAATGCCACTCACCTGACACCAATCATCCTGAAGCTGCTAGACGCAGGCTTTGAGGTCGGTCGTCTGCCCCTGAAACGCCCCTTCGACGCCCCATCGCGTCTTTTAGATGAGATGAGCCAAGCGGATCAAACCTTGGCTTGGCTTGGCTCCGTATCCAAATGGTCTTGTGCGTGTTCGGCGTGAGTGTCAGCCGCGTCAAGCAAAGCCAAAACACGCCCCAGTGGCTGCTCGACCCTGGTTCAGGGTCACCAAAAGGGTCGCGGGATCCCTGGTTACCTGGTGGGTTGGAGCGCTGCATCGACTGCGGGAACTGACCGCGCCCATCGTCAGGGAGATCGGGAGGCACATTGGGGCTTGTTCACTCTCCGAAGCTTCCTCAGCAACTGTGCAACTATCTCGGATCTCTGCTGCACCATCAGTCTCCATTCTCTGCTTTTGTGTCAGGAACCAGTCGGATATCAAAGGGGGAAGGATGATCAGACGAGACCAGGGGTTGCTTTTCTACGGAGTAGTCTCCATACCTTGTCATGCCCTTCGCGAACTTCACAAGCTCCAAGACACTCGCGTTTTGACATGGAGCTTGTTTCCTTTGCGTATCCTGATGGTGTCTACCTTCCCCACCTTTCCTTTCAAAGAGTTTTCAGGAGCCTTCACGACCAGCCAGGCCCATGCTATGCCCATGACAGGAGTCGTGACATGTTCCTGCTTGCCTGGTTCCCACAATGTTTCTGGGCCGAACCTATTGTCTGCATGTCTGCGGATAGTTCACAAATGAGGGGCTGTCACTGCAGGGAAGCAGTTGGCCCATGCGGAGGGTGGCTTGTTGAGCTGTTCCTATACATACATACTGCCTTGCTCCGAACGGCTCGCCGCATATATTTTTTGATTTCGACGAATCCTCGCACGGGAACAATGCCTCATTGACCTCTTCAGCTTCCCCTCATTTCCAGCCTTTCTTGTACATTGTATCCATTCTTGGCTTCTACTTCTACTTCGATACATTCGTTGATATTGCCATAGTTCACCAGGGCAGCTTGTGCAAATCCCTTGGCAACTCTCTACAATTACCACATTTCCCTGCTCAAAAAAGAGCTCGACCTCCTGGCCAAGGTCGCTAGAGGCTAGAAAGAGCTTCTTACACTTGGGGACGCGGGAAGGGAGCGCAGAAAGCCGACGTCTACTTATTCAAAACCTCCAGGGAAGATGGCAGTTGCACAGTTAGTCTCTCTCTTTGAGGCTCTGAACGAAGAATCATCAATTAAACCAATCTCCAGCAGCTTTCGAAACCACACTTCGTCGAAAGTCCGTCTACATCTCCACACCATCTTCAGCCACAATCCTCTACACCGATCGTCAGCAAAGAACCCGTCAAGCACCGTGACGTCGTCCTCGTCTTCGTCCACGTCTTCGTCCACGCCCTCTTCATCCGTCAGATCCTCGCCCAGCTCCTATTTTAGCAGCTTTGCAGGCCGACAACGAGCACCTGCCACCGACGATGGTTCTGTTACCCTAACCCCCGTTTCACCTCTGTCTAGCCACAATATCCGTCGCCAACCGTCAGCAATCGACCTAGCCCTCGAAGCGGAACGATACGCCGACGAAGTTGAAATCATAGGACTGGGGCTATTGGAGCCCAGACCCAGAGCGAACACCACCGCCTCAACAACGTCCTCCACCCAGTGCTCGATGATGGAGTTTATGAATGAGACCATGCAAACGCCGGTGGTGCTGGACGGCATATTCGAGGTCATGGAACGTGCATGAACATGACCCTTGGGATACGTGGGGGGGACACTGAAGAGGCAAGTCGTATCAGTGTGACCCCTCCCACGAGTCTGTACCATTTTCACGGTGGGCCTTGGTCAATTGAACGCATCTTTTACAGTTCTTGGGGGGGTTTTGGTGTACAACGAACGTTATGATGTATGTGAACGAGTTAGCAACTCCGTCTTTGGTTGATTCTGGACGGCAGCTAGGGGCATTGGTGGCAGTGAGGAACAGGAGGTCATGTACTTTACGATACCACTTACAGCGAGCTAATACAGAGGCACAGAGAGCGATCTTGGGATTCAAGGGAGAGCCCCTTCAGCTTATTGTGTGAATCAACACCGTTATGGATAGCATGTAGGCGCACGGCAGGTTCCCAGAAGCCACCCTGCCGGTTTCCTGCAAACGTTAGGAAGGGCGGTCTTCTAGTCAGCAGCTGTCCATGTTCTCGTTCCTCCGTCAATGCGTCGTGTGTTTGGGCCTAGTAGAAAGTGTTGTGCCTTGATCGTTTTCCCACAAGGTTCTCTTTTATCGAAGCCGAAGACGTCAGCGCGCCATCGCTGCAAACACCAAGACAACGTAGCAGCCCATCTAGGTTTTTGCCACAGTAGGAAACTCTCAACTACTTACACGGGCTTAAGTACGTGTGGTATTTGCTAGAGTTATGGCTGAGTCAAGCGTCTACTTGTTAGGGCTGTTCTGGATGATCCGTCACTCGGAGTGTAGCCTTCCAGCTTACCTAAAGGATGTAAAACCAGCAAGTTTGTCAGACTTGGATCCTCAAAGATCCTCTAGGAATCCGCCCGAAGAGAGGTGGCCTCCAGGGTAGAAAAGGGTGTTACGGACGTACCTAGCCTGGAGAGCCCCGACAGTAGGCCTTCTGTATGGTGGATGGGCGCCTGCCTCCGGGCCTCGGTCCACAGCATCGAAAAATGATTACTATTCATCCGGTCGACCATGACTTCTTCCAGACTAGCCTCGATTTCAGCCCGCTGCACATGGATGACGGCAACTGCCTCAACGAGCAAGAATCGCATCTTCCATGCATCTGGCTCCTTCCAAGCCTTCCGGTGATGGCTCGGGGATCAGGCCATGCCATCATCAGCTTGAGAGACGGCTCTTGGTTCGACAAAGGCGACTGCAGGTATTACGGCCTTCCGCTCTGCCCAGTGAGCCTGTTTTATAGGGAGAAGACGTGTGGCCTCGGATCCCTGCCCACATGTCATGTCGTATGCCTGTCTTGACCCCCGAGGGACCCTGCGAATCTGACTAATTTCGCGGGCCTTGCGGTTCGGGCGTGTTAAAGCAGCAATCCTACAGAAGGGCGGTTAGTATTACAAGCTCCTTCTCGCTGTTTGGGACCTGCCTCTCGAGAGACTCCACGCATCGACTCTCGACAGCTGCCCATCCGACAGTGTGTGGACACGGTCAATTCTGCAGAACATTGACTCTTATAGAGACAGGAGAAGAGAGAGAGAGAGAGGGAGGGAGGGAAAAAAAACATCCTACAGACCATTGATAACAGATCAAGCGGCCGATATTCAAAGCTGGATATCAAAATCGATTGATCAAGGAGGGAGATAGCCAACCATATATCTCCCCCTTTGCTCTTTCTGGAAATTTTCAGCGCCGCATGCCCGTTGCTCGGCCCAGACACAAAGGCTACAGAGACCAAAACCCCGTGGTTGACCGTGGTGGGCATCCTTGTTGGTCATTGGAAGACAACCCCAGACTGTCAACTGGCACCATCTCAGCCTTCCCAAGCCCTGTCGTCTGTCAGGTTCAGTAATCAGCTCGGCGGAAACAGTGCTTTGGAATCGAGACCATGTCCGTCGCAATGCACGCCTTCAGAAAAGCACAGTTTGGCGACCGAACATATTCATCCCTTCAATCACTCCTCGATGACCCCGCACAGATCTTCATGCCGTCCAACACGGTTGAGCGTCCTGTTGGTGGGGATCTCGAGATATTGTCGGCCTCGCGGTACCCCCAGGGACTCATGCAGCCTTACGAGGACATGGAACAGAATCCACGCAAGCGGAAGGCGACAACGTCGTCGAACCATCTCTACGGAGGCATTGTCTTGACTGGTGCCCCAAGTGAGAGTAACCTTTCATCTTCTGGAGAACAGGACCAACCGTCAATCCAAAAGAAGCCAAAGTCGACTAAGCGTTCCTCTGCCAATGACGGAGACGACCAAGGGACCGAAAAGAAGCAAAGGGGCCGACCTAGACTCGACACGCACGATGAAACGGCAGCCGATCGTCGGCGGACGCAGATTCGGCTGGCGCAAAGAGCATACCGTCATCGCAAGGAAACCACCATCTCGGCACTGAAGCAAAAGGTCACTGATCTCCAAACCACCATTGAGCACATGAACAAGACCTTTCTGACCTTACATGACAACATGGTCGACGCCGGGATCTTGACCTCGCACTACTCGCTAGGTCGACAGCTTCAGTCAGCCACCGAAGAGTTCGTCGCACTGTCCAAGAGAGCCTCACCTGAATCAGACGACGAAGAGGAGGCCATTGCGAAAATCACCAGAGGCAGCGATGGGAAACCATCCTCCGAACCAGGTGAGCGCAACAGACGATCTAGTGCCCAGCTGGACGCAAAGACCTCGTCACGGCCAGCAGCAACCAAGACTGATAATGTACGTCGGGCGATTAGTTTTGACCAGACCTCTACCGACGCAGAAGCAGATGTGGAAGAGTTACCTTTGATAGGCAAAGAAGACAACTCGTTGCTCGCGCTCTCAGAGACGGCGTGGTCAACGGACAATTCTAATCTCCACGGCCTGAACGATTTCCTGTCCTTCAACACCGCCATTCCCGATGTCGTCCTGTTCGACGACCCCAATGAGAAACTCGTCATTGAACGCCCTCTCAAGCCCGCTCATCAGCCCGAGGGCTCCTACACGTACAGCTTCCAAGAGACGACCTTTGCACGCCGCTTACACCGAATGTGTCTCGAACGCGCTTTCCGCAACCTCACCAACCCGCATGTTGACCCGGAATACATTAAGCGGGCCTTCCGATTCACATTCTGCTTCTCAAACCGCAAACGGATGCTGCAACGATTCCAAGAAATGCTCAAGCGCAAAGCCGGCGAGTCTTTGGAGAACTGGAACGTGCCTTTTTTCCACATTGGCGGAGCTGGGACGCATTTTCCTCGCCGTGACGAGGAAGGAAACCCCATTTACCCGCCTAATATGATCAATCCCGCAAGAGCATTCGGCCCCCAGCCGTACGTCCAGGCCGAGACTCCACGAATGGAGACGTCGGTGCAGGAGATGCTCGAGAACATCGGCTTCGGCGGGGTTTGGTTCGACAGTCACGACGTCGAAGAGTATCTCAAGACCAAAGGCATATACCTCGACGGGCAGAGCAGCTTTATTGAAGTCGATTCCAGTGTCCTCCCACTAGTCAAAGCATCCATTTCTACCAGCGATGGGACCTCGAGTTCGGATCGCAGTCCACTCGAAGCGACGCTGCGCACTCCCAGCCCGCTGCTGGGCGCCGAAGGCCTGACCGACCCTATCATTGACCCATTCGTCGCGCATGAACTAGGCGAAATGTTTGCCCGACCAGGCACGTTATTCCCGTCTGCCGCCTCCAACGCCGCGACCACCAACAACAACGGCAACAGTAACAGTGGCAGTTCCGCTTTCCAGAACCCTACAAAGTCTGCAGATGATCCGTGGGCCGACTTCGCAGCACTCAACCCGACTTCCTCACCGCCTACGTTCTCTGATCTACTGGGCAGAAGACAGAATCCTCTGACCTTTGACGTGGAGATGTTTCTCGAGCGCATGATTCATGGGAGCGCCTGCTTAGGCCGGGCGCCCGGGTTCAGAAAGGACACGATCGACCAGGCTCTTGTGATGAGTTTGCAAGAGGGTTTTTGAGAACCTGAGAGATGGGGAATAGAACAAACCGTGGAGCTATAACGATCGATTTGGGTGCGGGCGCCCGGGTTGCCAGAAGTCCACGACAGATTCGTCTCGCAGCTTCATTCTTCACATTATAAAATAGTTATTGTGATATCAAAAACGACTTCGGACTGGGGTTAATACATGTGTCAAAATTTAATTAATTACGCTAAATTAAATTTACCATTAAATATATAAATTTTAAACTCTGCGATATACTGTGGAGTGGTTGTTAGGACGCAGGCTACGCAATAGGTAAGCAATAATTACTAGAGTAGCTAAAATGCTCCTTTTCTATTCATGTACTTGTAGTCCTATGACAACGAGTCAATGCTTAGAAAGAAGAAGAGTCCCTTTTCATCCGATTCGCGTGAGAGGAGATTCTTGTAGCTTCCTCTCTTTTCTGTCACGTGAAAAAGGGTAAGGCGACGTTAACCGACAGACTTATCAACTGATAGCCTCGTGCTTTAGCTCTCCTTAGCTTGTGCTTTAACCATCCTTTGCCTTATCCTTTTCTTCCTATACCACTCACCCGAATCGGATGGAGGGCGTAGGGTACTTAGGGACAGCGGTAGGCTCGTGACAGTAGAACACCACCACAGCCTCCATAAATAAACGAAATGATTTCATTAAGGAGAAATGTATTAAATAGTTGCTTACTAGAATGAGGCTTTAATACTAGAGCCGGCGGTCCTATGGAACAGTGTATATAAATAAATCCACGCGCCTAGTAATATCGTTGTCCTAAACCCCCATCTTGGTCACCGTTTCCATTCATTATTCCCATATATTTTGCTCGCTCGTGCGAGGAGAACGGTGGGTTTAAACCACCGGGTGCTATTTTTGTACTACTGCGCGAAGCACGGGGCCCTGGAGGGAAAGGGGGAGTAGGGGCCTACTTGTAGCTCATGATTAGCGATAGTCTAGCTCTATTATCGCGACATCGTATTATGATTTCATGGTGTTGTCTTAGAAATTTTGATGAGGATAAAGAGCGGGGGGCGGGGGCTTACGATATCGATGTGGGGTTGGGTGTGGATATATAGTATGGATGTAGCCGCGGGCGGCGATGGCGATGGTGTGAATTGGTGACAGCGATTGTGACAACAAGGGCCTTGATTTACATTTGTGGTTCATTTGCGCAGACTATGCCTCATCATTCATTTCCCCCTAGCCCCCGGTCTAGATTCTGGCCGGTCTAGTCGGCTTGCTCGCTCGTCCGCTGAGACCTGCATGCTGTTGCGCCTGCTGCCGTTCCCCTAATAGTACATTGGATTTATCCTCCGGGGGAGGTGTCGCGCAAAACGCCGTCGTTACTCGTTCATTCATAGCGTCCGTGGGTTCGAAGATATACAACAACGACGCCCAACCCTTCCTGAAACCGATGACCCAATCCAATACACCCACCAATACGTATTCTCTTCGCCTTGTCTTGTGGATCGTCCCTTTTTTTTTGTACAGCATTGCGGAGATTTCTTCTTTTTCTCGAAATCGGTGACTGTAGTATCCTTTTTGGGCGTCTGAGTAGAGCCCAGTGTGACTGACATATGTGCTTTGGCGCATCTCGCAATCCAATCCACGACAAGGCCATCCCAGATCTCACATCTCTAGATTCGCGTGTTCGACAGGTTTCGTTCAGACGTCGAGGGAAGCTCTTCTATCCCTCTCTTCTCCTTCTCCGTCTGGTCTTGACACCTGGTTTCCATAAGATTCCTCGGCAATTTTCTTCTCCACATTGGCACCTGACCAAATCCTCTGAAGGCTTCTCGTCATCGGCGCCGCCGTCGGGTCGATAGTCGATGCGTATCTCCACGCCAGCTTTGATATCCTTGATGGCGAAGAAGGCAAGGTCGTACACCCTCTTGTCCTTTCTGTGGCTCTGCACAGGAAAACACCAGGCGTTCGCATTGCAGCTGTGATTGGCAAATCGCATGGCTCCTCCAAAGTACATGCCGTCGACGTGGTTAAACTTGTAATTCAAGTCGTCATTGAACCAGTCCAGCGTGTAGATATAGCTAGGTTGGTGCTCTTCAGCAGCATCTTCGCGAATCTCCAATTCCGTTTCGGTCACGACCTCGCCCAAGTACCGTTCGATGAACTGTCCTTTGACAATGTCCTTCGACGAACGGACTCCGAAGCCGCACTTCTCAGTCTGGAAGATTTCAAGAGGGACAGTGCGACCCTTGCACACGACGCGATTCCAGCAATCATCACCGCACCGGCAAAACTCGTTGCATTCCGTTATTTCGTGGCGGCCTTCCCCATGTGGAACAATACCTTTAGCAATATACTCGTCCGAGAGAACAACAATTCCATCGGGTCGGCGAACGTAGACTTCGACCTGTTTCTCATCTCCTTTAGATCCCTTCGTAAAGCATTTACAGGTGGATAAGGCGCAATCTGTGCAATCGCAGCCGGAGTTCGTCGATGCTGGTGCTCTCTTGACTTTGGAGCCGATAATGTATCGATCGATGAACTGAAACTTCCCAGGAAGTCGCGTATCGTTTAAGTCGTAGGAAACAGTGAGCGGTGGGTTTGATATTTCTTCAAAGGGCCTGGTGAGGATATCTCGCGCAGTTCGGGCGGGATGGATGAGACTCTTTCTGAGATTGAGTCGATCAAAGGACTGGGAAAGAGATCCGATCTCCAATTTGATGCTACCGCGTTCAGTCGCCTTCTTCTTCTTTGATGCTACACTCCGCATGAACTTGAGGTCATCTGCGATGCTAAAAACCTCCGAGAAGCCAGTTGTTCCGAAAAGTCGCTCGACCAGCTCTGGCTTCTCGTGGGCCAACTTCGTAGATTGCTGGAGCTGGACCAAAATCGAATCCTTTTCAGCCTTAAGCTGCATTTTGGACTTTGGAAAGGGACTTTGAAACTGTCTGAGACTCTTACTTGGAGAGGGGACCACAACTTCAATCGACGGTAGGCCTCCATGTCTCTGCTTTGAAGCAACCACCTGGGATGTCGGAGATGGTTGCGGAATCTCGATCGAGAACTTGGTCGAGGAGGAAGGATCCCGATCTGCGGTATCCTTCCTTTGGCTCGTCACCAATCTCTCACTTTGCTTTGCCTTCACGAACAGGCCAGGATCGGATCGAGAACTACTTCTTGACCGGTCGATATCCGTTCGATGTGACTGTGTGCCATTGACTCTTGGCTTTGAGAACGACGGTATACGCTCCGAAGGCTGTCTAGCCGCCCGGATTTTCTCGGGCAATGGGCTGGCATCGGGCTCCGATTTCGCGCCATTCTGGGTGGGGAGGGACGTTGTTGGCGGCTGCCGTCCGCGAACGTTTTTGGGAGGCGGGGGATCATCTATGAGCTCTACTACATTCTCATTTGACCACGAATGTTTTGTGAATTTTGTCGATGACGAGCGCTTTGGTGGGCGTGTTGCTGATACATCGCGTCGTGGCACACGTGACGGAGCCGACGCGAGGGAAGTCACGTGCCGACGAGTCTTCGCGCTCTCTGATCGCGAACGCGGCTGCGAGAGTTGAATGGGTTTTGAGTCACTTTCTGCTGGCGTGTGGGACTTCTGACGCTTAACACGAGGGACTGAAGGCAACTGTAGCGGTCAGCATGCGAATAGTCGAGGTGGACCATGGGTGGGAGAGAGAGGGAGACCCCCGTAGGTGGCGGTGGATGCGGTCAAAGAAAGGCGGGCCACATGAAGGAGGCTCACTTCGTCTTCGGAGTCGGATAACTCGATCACAACTCTCTTGTCTTTCTGAGGGCAGGTCAAGAATGTTAGTTTACTTCTCAAATAACATTCGCCGTTAAGGCATAGGCGGCAGAGGAGCCCGGCGTTCCCTTAACGGCGGGGAAAGTTCCGCGCTGTTACGATGCTATACCGACATTGAGAGGATGCAATGCTGAATGCATTAAGACGGACGTAAAGTGGGCAAGTAAGAAATCCGAGAAGTAAACAAAGATAAAAAAGAGAGCGCAACATACCACATGATCGTTGGTCTGGTCAAATCTTCGTTTATTAGCACCGACTGCCGCGAGTGTAGTCGGTATTGCCATCACCAGGGCCACCCCCATACACCGTGAAGCTGCCTTATAAAGTTGCTAATGTCGAGCTTTCGACACACATTCGTGAATTGTGTCTAAAATCAACCTTAAGGGAGGCTGAATAAGGCTTATTTTGTGAGACCGTGGAAAGTTAGTATATTAGAAAGAAAAGAGCGTTGAATTCGTAGCGAAAATAGGATAGAAGGAAAGCCAGATGCCAAGAAAAACATTGGCGCTAAACTCAGTATAGAAACCTAGAAATATTATAAACCTTCTCGACCTATCTTTTATTTACGATCGACTAGTAAAAAGATGACAAAAGTAATTAAGAGCTTTCAAATAGTGCGGCGATGATGAAATAATTAAATGATTTTTTTTTAAACAAGAGGACTCGAAGAAAAATGTTGTCGCGCAAATGGCCACAACCTTCCGACCTCGACTTCTCGTTCTTAGAAGTAACTAATGTTAATCTGGGGGCCTCCGGCTTGCTATTAAAGACATTAAACTTGAACATGACAATTTATCTAGAAGACTTGAAGACGTTGGCCGTCGAATGATTTAGCTGGAATAGGAGGCTTCCCGAGCTCTTGCATCCAGTGGGAAGCCTAAGCGGAGTCTTTCTAGACTTCGTACTATCATCGTGTCGACCCGACCAGTATCACGGCGCAACCATTTACTGGAGATAGCCGACTGTTATGGGAGCGATTGTGACAATGAGTTCTCCGAAGGACGAGTCCAACTAATAATAGAGGCGGTGACGCGCTTTGCGACGCGGTAGAAGGATGAGCTAGCCCCGTGCGGGGTGCCACCACACATTAGGTTGTGCCATGGGCGGTGCTGGGGCCGTGTTGTCCAGTCTGCCTTCCAGAGGTTGTAAACGCCCGGCTCGTCCACATCACACAATAGCACCCCTCCCTAATTACATCGTAACCTAAAATGAAGGGAAAACGGTCTCTTTAAATATTAAACCCTAGTCGGCTCTTTCTTGGAACATCGACCTAAGCGTACGTCCCTAGCTAGGCTAGGTATTCGTTCTTTGTAAACAGAGAAAAGGCTTCGGTAATCCCACCTGAAGAGCAGAGCACCAGGTTTCCCACCACTCTGATACTACCCTCCTCATTACCCTGGCAAGGGCTGCGATCTTGGGTCCCAAGCTAGTTAGAAACATACTTTTTTTTCGTTGCTATCTCATCCAAGTCTACCTATGGCATAATAGGTTGTATTCAACAGTCCCTGAATCGTGCTCATTGTTTAGCTAATACTCGATGGGGTTCCTTCTGTGGATTCTATCTTTACAATCCTGATGTACACCATCAGCCACGGGTTGTGCAAGCCGTGGGTCTGCGCACGCTTCAGCTCCCTGCTCCTTCACAGTCAGGGCTGTCCCAGGCTCAATCCTTCTCCTTCCCCCTCTGCGTCTTCCGCCTCCTCATCAAACCCCATCCCCTCTTCGCCCTCCATCTCATCCTCCAGACCACCGACAAGATATTTCTCGCCCTTTCCTTCCGTTGCGTCGCTGACGAGGTTCCCATCCTGCACCTCACAGCTTGTCAAGGAGCACTTATTGCCAATCTTGGCCTTCTTGCCCACGACCGTACCCGTCAAGACGCATTTATCCCCAATCGTTGCGCCGTCCATAATAACACAGCCCGTGATTCGAGTCCCGGTGCCGATTGCGACAGAGGCGCCGATGACGCTGTTCTTGATCACGCATTGGGTGGCGATTGTACTGTTGCTGTCGATGAGTGTATCAGAGCGAGAGATCGTCACCCGCGGCGCGATGGTGGCGGTTGCATGGATTTTGGCTGGGTGAGAAAATGAAGGGATGGCTGATTTATTGCCGAGACACTCTTCAATCGAAGGGAGTTTGGCAAGGGAAAGCGATACAGAGAGTAGGAGCGGGGTGGTGTCCACCCGACGCACCAGGGGAGCGTCAGGAGTGGAAGGAAGTATGCATGAGAGGATGGGAGGGACGAGCGGTAGAGGTCCTGATTCTTCGGAAGCTTGTGATTCGTCGTCTGCCGAGAGAATTCTGTCTTCCGAGTCTGTCTGCACTCTTGATGCAAGTCGGGCTGTGCGTGGTGCTGTTGTAGATTGAGGTACCAGATGTCTTGTGACGTGGGTGCTACTCAAGGAAAGCAAGTCGATTTCCTCTTCGATCGGCCGTTCGTGTGAAGGAACTTCATTCCCCTTGGAGCTGGGGCGGTGTGTGAATATTTTCCTCGCCCCAAATCGTGCTCGATAGCTTGGCTTGCGCCACTCGGCTTTTGCCCACGTCCCAACCAGATCTTCACTGACGGACTCGAAGTCTTCGTTAAATTTTGCAAAATCTTTGACCCAGTAGGGGAAGAAGTAGATATGTGAGTCGCGGTATTTGGTCATGCACTTGATTGCCCCATACTTGCGGAGGAGCGACTGCCGAATCTTCCATGATTTGTCCTCCTCGCATTGGTCCCAAAGTTCGGACATAGGCATCGTCCAGACCAGTTTGCGAAGAACTCCCTGGGATTGCATGATGGCAGTTTTGGAGAGTGCCAGATCGTGCTCGGGGTCGAGTTTGGAGGTGCACATGAAGTCGCATTCTTCACTTTTCACACTCTCCTCCCTATCGACTGTATTGTACCAGATCGACAGGCCACCGCGCCGACCGCGTCGTTCGCCTCCGAGCGATAGTAACTCGTTTCGTGACATGTCAAAATCTAAGCCAGCGCTCGCACCGATACCGCCCGGTCCGCCTAACCGGGTGAAGTAAGTCTCCAAGAAATGGTCTCCTGAAATGTCGCAAATCAAATCGCAGGGGAGTAACAAGAAATCCGATTTGATCACTTGCTGCACTTCTGGCAGTCTGAGCAATTCTGCTGTTGGAGTGGTGTATTCTAGCGATGCAGGGGCTAGAAGATCGGCGGATGGTGAAGGAAGAGACGTGAGGTAGGGGTTTTGCGCAAGAGCGGCGCCAATTGTGTCCTTTGATGTTGGTGGAGTTATGAGGGTGATATCAGTCACGCCCATCCGGTAACACCAATCCAAGACGTACCAGACCATAGGTCGGTTCGCGACTTCGACGAGAGCCTTGGGAAATTCTGCGGGCACGCTGGTGAAGGTGCTGAGCCCGATGCCGGGACCGCATAGGATGAGCGCCTGAAACCCCGTCTGAGGCATCTTGATAGCCTTAGAGAACAGACTTCTAGAGAGACTCTCCAGGGTCGTCTGCGTCGTTATATGCGCGTCTCGCGGTGACTCATAACCAGTGGAATAATTTGACAGGGCGAAATTGCGCAAGGGTGAAGGATTCGTCACTTCGCCCTGGCCCCCCTTTTCGTCTTGATCGAGACTCAGCGGGCGATACAGAGAAGGCGGGACAGGTTGATATGGAGGAGTTGCACCAGGCACGCCAACCCGCCCTCGGACGATGGCTGAGAGACGCAAAAATTGAATGCGCGGATTCAGTGACTGCCGGGTCGAGCCTGTGGCGGTGCTATCGGTCTCCTGCTGGGTCTGACGAAGCTCGTTGGCAAGGGAATCAATGCCGTCAACGTCGCGCAGAAGACTGATATGATCTACTGCCTCAGAGGTCAAGCGCGTCTGCATGTAGGTGAGGGACTGATTCATCCCGTCTGGGAAAATGAGAGTCTGACAAAAAGGACATTAAAGTTGGACTTGGCAGAGATCCACAGCACGGCGAGACGGTAACGGGCGCGGGCGAAAAGAATGTCTAGGTAACGACGACAGTCAGGACGCAACTCACTCCTTGGTCGCTCAGCGATCGTCAGTTACACATTTCAATAGCTATTATTGTGCACGGAAGCTTCCGTTATTTCAGCCTCTCTAACC